GCTACTGAACCCGCGGAGCAGGAGGGTAACTCCGGGGAGGAAGAGGCTGAGCCATTGATTTGAAGGGGGAAGTGGGCTGGTTCCCCCTTGGACAACGTCAGCAAGAGGGCTGACAAAGATAAGGGAAAGGTGGGCACCGACGCCCAAGGCGGAGAAGGGGGAGCCTTTTAATACCACCTTAACGAAGAGGGGCAGTACGTGGGCCCCGATGGGCGCCCCCCAATCTTCCAGCCCCGCCGCTCAGACGTTGGGCGCATTGAGTTGCCATGCTCCCCACTGGTGGCAGTCGACCGAGGCTATGCTATGGGGTTGGCAATCACGGCTGCCAAGATGTGGCAAGTGCCGTTAGAGATGAATGGGGATCATCTCTTTGCTGAACTGGCCAAAGTGGGCGCCAAGGTATATGCCACTTTGCTTGTGTTCTCGAGTTTTTGAAATTTTCTTTACACAAATGCTAACTCTTTTTATTTGGTGTGTGCAGATTCTTCTTTTTGCTGAGAGAGGCGCCCGACGCCTATCTGAAACCAAGCGAGAGGCGCTCGAAGCCTCTACTTCTGTCTCCTCCTTGAAGCATGATCTCGAAAACGCGACTGAGCGTCGCGAGCAGCTGGTGAAGGAATGCGAGGATTTACAAATGAATGCGGCCATCGAGGTGTCGCAGCTTCAGGGCGCCCTCGACGAAGAGCGCAATAAATCGGCCACCCTCCAGGCTGAGAAGGAGGCATTCGCGCAGGAGGAGGGCGCCCATGCGAGGGAGAATTATATCCTTAAGGAGGAGAAGAAGAGGTGGCAGGACGCCTACAAGGAGTGCAAGAAGAACTTGAAGGAGGCGCGGAAAGAAATTACAAACTTGCGCCATTCTCTGGACACCTTCGAAGAGTTCAAGGCTGGAAAGAGTATGAGCGCCAACGCCATTTTGTCCGGCCTCCAAATTTTGCATGGCAAGTTGGAGAAAGATCACCCCGATCTTACTTGGGATTTCACCGAGATGGCCGAGTATGTAATTGGGGAGTTGGACACTCCACATGAAGCAGAGAAGGCGCCTGAGCCTCCTATTGTAGAGGAGCCTCCGAATGATTCTGATCCTGTCTCACCCTTCCCCAAGGCTCCTAGTGCTGGTGATGCCAACTCAGGAGCTGAGTAAAAAGAAATGGGCGCCTACCTTTTTTTTATATGATGTAAACGTTTCCGTTTTGTGGGCGTAACTTATATATAAAATGCTCTCGTTGATGTTGCGATCGTATTGTCTGGTTTTTACTTAACGTGTTATCGATGTACTTGGGCGCAAATATTGCGGGCGCTTTGTAGCTTTAGGCGCGAGGTTGGGCGCGAGTTCCGTTTATCATTGATTGCCACGTTTCGAGGGCGCGAATTTGGGCGCATAACTGCTCCGGCTTAGGGCGCAATATGTGGGCGCTTTGTGGTTGACGGGCGCAAAATTGGGCGCTTTACTGACTCACTTAACTATTGTAAACACACAATCGGGCGCAAAGTTGGGCGCTTTGTTTAACACAAAATTACTGGGCGCAAAGTTTGGGCGCTTTTACTGAATGCGAAAAGGAGGGAACAAAACATGAAGTCACTATTGGGGCGCTGAAACACTGGGCGCTTTGGACACGACACGACGCTATTTTTATGAGCGCTTTGGACACAACACACTGCGCTTAATATACTTGTTTTCGACATAAAAAACGCTCACAACTACGACCGCCTTTTGCCTTCCTGGTTCTCATCAGGCGGAGGCGCTTCCTGTTCGAACGGCATCCCCCCGGTAAACTCGCAGATTTTGCGCATTCCATGTTCGTTTCACACTTTTGCCGTTAGTATGCTCTAGCTTGAATGTACTGGGTCCTACCACCTCTCAAACTCGGTATGGGCCTTTCCATTTTGGTGCTAACTTCCCCTCATGGGCGTCCGGGCGGAAGTCACGTTTTAGGACCAGGGCGCCTTCGATGATTCCATGAGCACGCATTTTCTTGTTGTAATATCGAGCCACTTGGCTCTTCATCTTTTCCAACCGGATAGCCGCTACTTCCCTCACCTCATCTGCCATGTCCAGTTCGTTGGTTCTTGCCTCGTCGTTGCTGTTTGGGTCGTACTGGACAACGCGGTAGCTTGGGGTATTGATTTCCACTGGAATGACTGCCACACTTCCGTAAGTCAGGGCGAAGGGTGTTTCCCCTGTGGCTGTTTTGTAGGTTGTGCGATGCGCCCACAACACATTTGACAACTCCTCTACCCATTTGCCTTTGGCGCCTGCCAATCGGGTGTGTAACCCGTGAAAAATGCTTTTGTTGGCCGCCTCCGCTTGACCGTTTGCCTGTGGGTACGCCACTGAAGAAAACCTCAACATTACCCCATTGTCGTCGCAGAAATCCACAAACTTCTTTCAATCGAACTGCTTTCCATGATCTGTGACGATGGACTCGGGTAGGCCGAACCGAGTGAATATATTTTTCTTGGTGAACCTTCGCACCTGGGCTTCTGTGATCGTGGCCAAAGGTTCCGCCTCAATCCATTTTGAAAAGTAGTCGACCGCCACTATCAGGTATTTCATTTGCCTAGGCGCCTTGGGAAAAGGGCCTAAAAGGTCCATGCCCCATTGGGCAAACGGACAGGCTCCCACATAGCCTTGCATGGGCGCCGCCGGGACATGGATATCATTTGCATGAATTTGGCACTGATGGCAGGCGCCCACATGTGCCTTTGCGTCCAGTCTCATTGTTGGCCAGTAATAACCTTGTCGCAGCAGTGTTTTTTCCAAACTGCGTGCTCCCGCATGCATGCCGCACGTCCCGCTATGCACCTCTTCGATTGCCCCCCTGCTTTCCTCCTCATCCAGACACCTTAAGTATGCTCCCGCATGAGACCTCTTGTATAACTTTCCCTCAATTATGGAACACCGGGCCGCCTTTCGACGGAAGCGCCAGGCTTCCTTTGGGTCATCAGGCACCGCTCGTTGGGTCAAGAACAGTACGATTGGTGCCATCCACCCGGAATCGGCGCCCACGTTTCCCAAGGTCGCGACCACATGTTCTCCAGGCGCCTCTGCAGTGACTATTACTTTCCGGTCCTCCGCAAAATCCACAGCGGTTGCTAGCTTGGATAAAGCGTCTGCGTGAGCATTCTCTTCATGTGGAATGTGCACAAAAGAGATTTCCCCAAACCAGGCTCCCAGTTCTCTGACTCTTTGCACGTACCCTTCCAGCGTTTCCTCTTTTACTTCAAATGTTCCGTTAAGTTGGTTGACGACGAGGGCCGAGTCAGACTTGACTTGGAATTTCTGGGCGCCCAGCTCCTTAACCATGGTCATGCCGGCAATCATCGCTTCATATTCCGCAGCGTTGTTTGTTTTTAAGTTGGCGAATGGCAGCGCGACCTCATGCATCGCGCCTCCGGGGCATATCATTACGATACCTGCTCCGGCGCCCGTGCATCTGGCCGCTCCATCGACCTGAACTTGCCAGCAATCGTCCGTCCCTTTCTCTGACTCTGCTATACCCTCTGCGACAAAGTCGGCCAGGACCTGGGCCTTGATGGCTGGACGCGGCGCATACCTACGTCGAACTCACTCAGCTGGACTGCCTATTTGACAAGGCTCCCGGCCACGTCCATTGACCCCAATGTGGATTTCAACGGGAGGTTGGTGAGTACTACGATGGTGTGGGCCTGGAAGTAAGGCCTCAACTTGGTTGCGGCCATCACAACCGCTGATGACTCGATATTTGCACATGTTTTCCCCTTTGTTTCTTGATCGTTTAAGCTTGCATTATCGCTTCTTTGGCCTATTTTACGCTAGGTTGTGTTCCTTTGTCACATTTCAGGCCCTAGCACAAAAATTGAAGCGTAGGCGCAAGTTTCAAGTCAATCGGAGATCATTTGACAATTCGGGAGAAGAAACACGAGCATGACCTGAGGAAGAATGGATTTCCACCTCATCTTATGGACAAATAATCATGGAATCTTGTCATTAAAATATAGAGGACGAGACTACGAGCGTCTGGGTTCAAACGGCGACTGATTTGGAGTCCGGACGAGGGAGAAACGAAGCTTTGAACAAGGGCGGAGGAAGAATTACGGGCAGGAGAATTACGACCGTAATTTCCCTTCCCATGTCCGTATTTTCACTGCCGAGAGGAGGTTTGGATGCGCTGAAACTTAACCAAAACGCGTGTTTTGGACAAAATACGGGCATGGAAGAATTACGACCGTAATTCAGCCCGTAATTCGCCAAGAATCGGGTTTTTGAGGCAGATTCGAGCCAAAGGAAGAGAGAGCTGGGTTTTGGGATCCCAAACACCCAAGGGACGAACCCTAGAGAGAGAGAGCGAATTGGGAACATTCTTGGAGCTATTTTGGAGGATTTCCTCGCCATTGGAGCTCGGGAATCAAGCTTGGAGATGGAGATTGAAGATCTAGATCAGATTTCTGCAGTCTCTCTCTTCTCTATGGAGTAACTTCCCTTCACTTAGGTTTTGAGGAACCCTAGTTCCATGAGTTAGGATCTTTCTTGTATGAAGTTTTGGATGCTAGATTGTTTGATTATAATCGAATGATGCATGTTTATTGAGTCAATTGAAGTCTGATCAACTTTTCCTGATTTCTGCTGCAACCTGAGATAGATAGAATCTGATTAGGTTGTTAGAGCCTCATCATTCGGTAGTAGGAGATTGGCTATATGAGAGTTAGCCAGTTTACTGCTTTGTACTTGAATCCAATTCCAGTAGTGGATTTCTGTGCTTACTGCTTCAGCTTTCTATCCCGGTGAAGACTAGTCGTCTGCCGGATAGTTAGACTGAGAGCGCTTGGTCAGCTTAAGAGATTCCAAGCTACTGTCGGATCTTCCGCAGTTTAATCAACAGTAAAACAACCAAAAGGAATTACAACTTGGACCTCATTGAAGAGCTAGGGGGAATCATACCTAAGTGAGTTCACATCTTGTAATTAGTAGAGTAGTTAGTAGAGTAGTTTATAAATCAATCCTTAATCTAGTTTGCTAGATAATGAACTGAAGCTGAGTAATAGTAACTTTGGAGACCCGTGGATTTGATATTTATTACTTGTGTCACTATACTGCAGTCCCTTTCATTGGTTACACTTGGCCATTGTTAGGTGTTGTGTTTTAGCGTGTCAAGTTTTTGGCGCCGTTGCCGGGGACTTTCTAGAGTATTAGGAAAGGCAGAAGTTTGTTACTTTAGCGTTTTACTTTTCTTTTCCACCCTTGCTTTTCACTTTGATATTTTTGTTTTTGTTGGTGCAGATCTGAATCATGGATCCTCATGGCTTCTCCAATCATTGGGGGTATCCACCACCATCCGAGTGGTATTACCCCGAGACTCCCTGGAGCAATCAAGGAGGAGAAGACTATGGATTTGGGTTCCAGTACCAACCCCCTTACTACGGAGAACAATCAGACCCTTGGGCATATCAAGAACAACCTCCTTATCGAGAAGAATTTCTCCCACAACCAGAGGGCCCATTGGAGCTGGAGTTACCCATGGCGACCTTCACGGGCCATTCTGCAGAGCCATGCTACACTCCACAGCCAGATCCAAACTATGAATTGAGTCTTCTCATGGAGCAGTTTGCTCGAGACTGTGATAGAACATGCTCCAGGATGGATCATTGTGTCCAGGCCTATCGTGAAACTGAGGAGATCCTCCTGAGCCTTAAGAAGAGCGTCGATGATCTTGAGCGATCTTTCGCACAACCTGCTCCAGATCACCCTTCTGCTACCATACAAGAAGAGGAGGAGGAAGAAGAAGGCTACAAGGACATAGTGGAGCATACTGAAGTTGTCACGGAGAGCTCCCGTGATGATCATGATCAGGAATGTCATATCATAGCCGACCACACCTTCCCACATCCTAAACTGAGCTTTGAAGAGGCGGGCATGAGTGAGGAGATGCAAGAAGATCTCATGAAAGAAATTGCTTGGCAACTTGCTCTCCAATCCGTGCTAGAAGAAGAAGAGCAAGAAAGGGTGCAGAAAGAAGTTGTGGAGGATGATGAAAGTGAAGCAGGAGGAGTTCTTGATCATTTCCCAGGGGTGATACCACATGAACAAGGAAGGGAGGTTGAAGAATCAATTGGCGTCCAGGCTGAGGACGAAGTTGAGGTGGAAGAGGCTTGCACCGGCCATGAGTTACATTTGATATCTCCATCAAACTTCGAGGAACTACTTAGCAAGGATCCATTTGCAGTGTCTCTTTGCCATACCAAGGTCACGTCGACATCGGTCCCTCTTGGTGGACGCGATGGTGGTCAATCGATGCTGTCATATCTGGTTTGGGGCAATGAGACGAGAGAAGAGAAGAAGAGGTCTCGAGGGTGGAGACTTCATCCGCATCAAGTACACGAGCTTCCATCACCTGTCATACCACATGCTCGTGACTTGAGACTCCACCTCATTGACGAGAACCTCAACTTCAAGGAGGTTTTGGGGTGGACCGAAACTTAGGAGCCATCGTCCGGCTCACGACGTGAAAGAAGCGCTTGTTGGGAGGCAACCCAACCAGTCGGTTTGCATTTCTTTCTCTTTTTCTCCTCGGTTGAGTCAGTTTTGTTATTTGATTTTAGAGTCAATAACTCAACCTTTGTGAGATTTTGTGTGGTGTTTGTGGTCTGACCACTCTCTCCTCCTAGAATACACCGCCTGCCCCGTCCACCATCATTCACCCTGGATCTGGTAACTTTGTTCTACCCACCTTATCTTTCCTCCATTGAGGACAATGTCGTGCTTAAGTGTGGGGGGATGTTCGATTATGTATGCGGGTGAATGTTTGGCTGTTTGTGTGCTTGGAGCCTAGTCCACTGTCCAAATTTTTAAATTCGAGGGCTCCAAGTACGTGTTTCCTTGCAAATTGCCTGCTCAGTATGCTTTGAATTGACAGTCTCTATAGTAATGTGCAACCTAGGGAGGTAGTGTAGCACTATGGAGGATGTTGAAGTATAAGATTTTTCCTATCTAGCTCTCTGCTGTGCCAGTTGATTTTGTGAATTAGTGGAGCTAGGACCGTTCAATTCATGTGGTAATGGTGACTCTATGTGGATTGTGTGATGGACTTGTGTATCGAACAGGGTGCTCATGTGAAAAATGAAAAGCAGTTGGTCCTCCATGTCAAAATCATAAAATCTTAAACATGGGGTAAGCCCAACGTGTGCGGCATCGTTCATTGCACAAAATTGGGTTCTGGAAGAGATTTTAGTGATCCTTAGTGGGGTACTCCTACAAGGTGAAGCTAAGTTGTCTCTAGTACAAGTAAAACTTCCACCCGTTGAACGGTTTGCCTACTTGAGGATGTGTTTTTAAGGGCACGGATAGAGCTTCCGACCCCCCTTAATTTCATTGACCCTCCACACGAGTTGAGGAAAATGAGTTAAAAGAAGTACTCTAGCAAGCGCCAGATGTACAGAAATTGCTCTTGCTCGACGAATAAGGGTCGACCGTGTAAGAGACTGCAGTTGGAACCCCCGCAAAGTGAATTAAAAAAATTAAGTAAACAAAAGTAAAGTGAAAGTGAAAAAGGGGTTCCAACGGTGAAATGAAGTGAAAGAGCACCCCGGTACAATGAGTCCTTGGTTGTGAATGTTGTGAGTCCCTTATCCATGAACTGACTGTCTTACTTCTACTTCTTCTCATGATCCTGGTTTGAGTCTAGTACTCGCATTGAGAGAGATAAGGAACGTCCTAGAAGACCAGTTGACTTCGTAAGCTGCTATATGATCTAGGAAATCCTCTACCGACGATCGGGGTTGTATGTTGCTATAGAGGTCTGGAGAGCTGCATTGGTTTGAGTTAGGTTTGCTTGGGGACAAGCAAACGGTTAAGTGTGGGGGAATTTGATGACTCGATATTTGCACATGTTTTCCCCTTTGTTTCTTGATCGTTTAAGCTTGCATTATTGCTTCTTTGGCCTATTTTACGCTAGGTTGTGTTCCTTTGTCACATTTCAGGCCCTAGCACAAAAAGTGAAGCGTAGGCGCAAGTTTCAAGTCAATCGGAGATCATTTGGCAATTCAGGAGAAGAAACACGAGCATGACCTGAGGAATAATGGATTTCCACCTCATCTTATGGACAAATAATCATGTAATATTGTCATGAAAAGATAGAGGACAAGACTACGAGCGTCTGGGTTCAAACGGCGACTGATTTGGAGTCCGGACGAGGGAGAAACGAAGCTTTGAACAGGGGCGGAGGAAGAATTACGGGCAGGAGAATTACGACCGTAATTTCCCCTCCCATGCCCGTATTTTCACTGCCGAGAGGAGGTTTGGATGCGCTTAAACTTAACCAAAACGCGTGTTTTGGGCAAAATACGGGCATGGAAGAATTACGACCGTAATTCAGCCCGTAATTCGCCCAGAATCGGGTTTTTGAGGCAGATTCGAGCCAAAGGAAGAGAGAGCTGGGTTTTGGGATCCCAAACACCCAAGGGACGAACCCTAGAGATACAGAGCGACTTGGGAACATTCTTGGAGCTATTTTGGAGGATTTCTTCGCCATTGGAGCTCGGGAATCAAGCTTAGAGATGGAGATTTAAGATCTAGATCAGATTTCTGCAGTCTCTCTCTTCTCTATGGAGTAACTTCCCTTCACTTAGGTTTTGAGGAACCCTAGTTCCATGAGTTAGGATCTTTCTTCTATGAAGTTTTGGATGCTAGATTGTTTGATTATAATCGAATGATGCATGTTTATTGAGTCAATTGAAGTCTGATCAACTTTTCCTGATTTCTGCTGCAACCTGAGATAGATAGAATCTGATTAGATTGTTAGAGCCTCATCATTCGGTAGTAGGAGATTGGCTATACGAGAGTTAGCCAGTTTACTGCTTTGTACTGGAATCCAATTCCAGTAGTGGAGTTCTGTGCTTACTGCTTCAGCTTTCTATCCCGGTGAAGACTAGTCGTCTGCCGGATAATTAGACTGAGAGGGCTTGGTCAGCTAAAGAGATTCCAAGCTACTGTCGGATCTTCCGCAGTTTAATCAACAGTAAAACAACCAAAAGGAATTACAACTTGGACCTAATTGAGGAGCTAGGGGGAATCATACCTAAGTGAGTTCACAACTTGTAATTAGTAGAGTAGTTAGTAGAGTAGTTTATAAATCAATCCTTAATCTAGTTTGCTAGATAATGAACTGAAGCTGAGTAATAGTAACATTAGAGACCCGTGGATTTGATATTTATTACTTGTGCCACTATACTGCAGTCCCTTTCATTGGTGACACTTGGCCATTGTTAGGTGTTGTGTTTTAGCGTGTCAACCGCCAACGCAGCTTTCTCGATGGGCGTGTACCGCCTTTCGTGGGAGACCATGGTGCGACTGACATAGTATACCGGTCTGTCTTCTCCAGAATGGATTTCTCTTGCGACAAGCACTGCACTTACTGAGACTTCCGACACAGCAATGTAAAGGTACAACGTCTCCCCCGCTTTGGGCGCTGTCATCACAGTTGGGGCGCTTAGGAGCTGCTTCAATTCTTCGAACGCCCCGTCACACTCGGTGGTCCACTGGAAATGCGCCGCCTTCTTAAGCGTTCGAAAGAAGGGAGCGCCCTTGTCGGCGGATCGGGGAATGAAGCGCCCAAGAGCGGCTAACCTGCCCGCCAGGCCTTGTACCTCTTTGGGCGTCTTCGGGGGAGTCAACTTGAGAATAGCATCTACCTGCTTTGGGTTGGCTTCTATACCCCTTTTGGTGATCATGAATCCCAGAAATTTCCCCCATTCGGCGCCGAAAACACACTTGAGGGGGTTGAGGCGAAGCCTATGCGCCCTCATGGCCTGGACGTCTCCCGCAAGTCTTCCAGGTGGTCTTCCCATTTCCGGCTTTTGACTATGAGGTCGTCCACGTAGGCTTCCACATTTCGGCCGATTTGCTGTCGGAAGACGTTGTTGACCATTCTCTGGTAAGTGGCGCCCGCGTTTTTGAGCCCGAATGCCATGACCCGGTAATAGAAATTTCCAAAGGGTGTCATGAAAGCTGTTTTAGGCCGGTCTTCCTCCGCCATGGGGATTTGGTGGTACCCGGAAAACATATCCACGAAGCTCAGCATCTCGTGGTACGCCGTGGAGTCCACCAGCAAGTCTATCCGGGGCATCGGGTAGGCGTCCGTTGGCCATGCCCTGTTGAGGCTTGTGTAATCCACGCACATCCTCCAGTCTCTCGACGGCTTTGGTACAAAGACCACATTCGACAACCAAGTAACATAAGAAGTTTCTTCGACCAAATTAGCGCCCATGAGTTTGTCCACCTCGACCCTAAGCGCCGCCTCCTTCTCTGGCGATAAGTTTCTGCGCTTTTGTTGCACGGGGCGCCTGCCTTTCAGGAGGGCGATGAGCCGTTCCCTCATTTCGGCTGGCGCCTCTGCCGAGATCCTCACGCATCTTTCTGGGCGCCCTTGTTCCAGTGTTACCAAGAGTTCTTCGTCGGCAGCCTCGGCTCGAGGGGCCTCGTCTCCCACGACTTCCATCACATTGACTCTTGCATCGATGTGCCTTCGCTTACGCTTCTTCATAGTGTCGTTGTACTCGGCGAAGTGTCCAGCCCCCTCGGCGCCGGGCTTCCCACATCAACTCTCCTCGGCGGGGGATGGCTTGCGGGCGTATACCCCAAACCACTCGGGGGGTACGGCCTCCTTGTTATGTCGGCTTCCTCCACTCTTTTCTTTCTCCGGTCCGCCCTTCTGGCCGCTAATGTTTCCTCCAGCATGATCACCTTTTGCACTCTGTGATCCAGATCCTCTGTGGATACCACGTCTCTCTTTGCGAGCTACCTACACAACTCCTCACTGGAGGTGCACTCATTCAGACACACTCCCAGCACTGACGGCTGAGCGTCTTTCACTTCTAGGGCCACGGATAGCCACCTCTCGTAAAACTCTCTCAATGCCTCTCCTTCCTTTTGCCTGACCTTGAATAGGGTGCCTATGGTCAAGGAGCGCCGCTTCCTGCTGGCAAACTTTGCTAAGAACATCGCTGCGAACTGTTCGAAGCAATCGATGCGCCCCTCTTTGATCTGATGATGCCAGTCGAGGACCACACTTGAAAAGGTGGACGGGAATACCTTGCACAGGGTGGCGTCTGTGCTGTTGTAGAGTTGCATTTTGGTGAAGTACCCGTTAAGGTGGTCCTCGGGATCTCTGGTCCCGTCATAGGCAGGGAGTGAGGGGATGTTGGTTCCGGCGGGCTCCGACAGTATGCAACGTGCCAAAGGCTGCCTCACGGGGCAGTGGCGTGATAGGCGCCCCGAAATTCCTCCATTCCACCCGCTAGCATCCGGCCCTCCATGATCACGTGGGCGCCACAAACTTGGGCGCCTCAGACACCCTGATTCACTTTCCGTCTCCTCCATTCTTTCCCTTTTCTTCGTCGGGCTGGGCGTCATCCTTTCACTCCTCTTCAAGGCGTCCACTTCCCGCCGCAGCGCCTCGATCGCCTCGTCCTGATCCTCGATGATCCTGAACAATTCTTTTTTTGTGACCGAGGCGCCTCCAGACCCCCGAAACATGCCGTCACTTTCCTCGCCTTCATCCATCTCGGGCGTCTGCCCTCTCATCCGCTCCGATTGCTCCTCTATAATTTCCTCTCTTTCTTCATTCATCGGCGCCTCTTCACTCATGACTCCTGGTTATATTCCCCTATCTGGCGCGCCAATTGTTTGTGACACGTTACCCTTGTACGGCACTCACGAACCCTCTCTTGTAAGACGCCTGTCTGCACACACGAACACAGAGGGGGCTCCAGGGCCCGTTAATCCTCCGACGCCCAAGTTAGTTTCTAGAGAGGGAAGTGTCTCAAAGCTAGAGTTTAGTGAGAGAATCCAACCTGTGTAAATGCTACCAACTGCCCCTATTTATACTCACCAGAGTTCGAGGTTGATCTTCTCCACCTCACTGTCTCCATTTAATGTTTTGTCCCTTTCTGGTCAGATATCCCAACCGCCTTGTCAGGCTTCTGGCACGTGACAGGCGCCCGCAGACAATGGACCACTTGACAGCCTGACCACCTCTGGCTTCTAGTGACTTGTTTTTATGTGCCCTCCACCTTGCTTGGGCCTTGCCCCCCAATTTTGCTGTTTGAAAGCCCAAGTTATCGCCCATTGGGCCTTGCTCATAATACCCCCAACAAGTACAAACACTTTGAACATCAACTCTCCGCATATAGGCATTACAAATCCTATAAATACCCTTTAGCATATTTTGAGGAAGAAGAAATATGCTTATCCAAAAGTGTAGAATACTAGTTAACTTGAAGTTCACCCGCATGAATTAGAAGTTCGGCTCTTCAACCATAAATCTTGTTTGCGATTTTATCTACCAGCACTTGACATTCTTTTCCTAACAATTTCTTCATAATAAAATCATACTTCAAAATATCTTACGAGAAATTCACCTAATGAGAAATTTGTACAAGTAGATACAAAAGTTATTCACGATTTAGATATCTCCACAAAACAACTTGCCCTTGGAAGGGTTGCATTGAAGCCCAGACAGCTTGTAAAAGTCATCAAGCAGTCTTCAAGTTCCTGTCACAAAAATGCTCTTTTCTAGGGTCTCCTTGGCACTTACCTTTTCCAACACCAAAAATATTGGTATGGAATCCCAGCCCTCCTGCGGCAGTTTCATCAGCAATACCAGGAATGGGTTAATCTATCACCGGCAGGGGTGCCTAGGATTTCCACTCCTCTGACTGAGCCCGTTGTAGGGGGTCATCCCTCTGGGGTGGTGTGTCAGTGGGATGGGGCTACTAGGCGAGGCTCGCATTCAGCTGGTAGTATGATTATCAGGGATCCGGGAGGACAGGTGCTGTTGGTTCAGGGGGTTCAGTTTGATGGAGTGGATGATCCCATAGTCATCGAATCGCTGGTGCTGAGGGAGGCGATTATCTGGTGTTTATCTCTTGGGTTCTCGGTGGTTTGCTTTGAAGGAGATGCCAAGGTGGTTATCGATAAGATCAATCAAGCAAGCACTCGGGATAATCAGATTGGAGCCATTCTGGAAGAGATCGTGGGGTTTTTTGCGCTGCATTCAGGGCTTAGTGTGCGATTTGTAGGCCGGAGTAGTAATAGGGTAGCCCATTTGGTGGCTAGAAGGGCCCTTTCTTTGTACCCGGCCTCATGTCGCAATTTTGATTTCGCTGCCTGGTTAAACTCCAGGATGTAATGATCTTTGTTCAATCTATATATGATTATCTTTTGTAAAAAAAAAAAGACATGTGTATTGATCAGCAACCTCATTGTCAAAAAAAAATGTATTAATCAGCAACCAAATCGAGAAGGCAACTTTATAGACAACATTATATTGTATAAGGAATCTCAATTCGCCGAATCAAGATCTTTCATAAAATCAGTTTTTATTGTGCATTGCAGTGTAATTAATACCTTATTAGGGTATTTAATTAACTAGTTGAGAAAATAAAAAGATATTATCACTAATTAAACGTCATTGATAGCATACAAAGATGGACCAATTATTTTGTACAATACTCTAGTTGTTGATTTCCCAACAATTTAGGCTAGTTTGCTTGTTGGATTTGAAAATGTGAGTTTTGAGTTTTAAAAACCTTTGGATTTATGATAGATTTGTTGCATTATGGATTTGGAAGAATGCATTGTTTGTTTAGCTAATTTTTATCATGAATTTATGATGGATTTGTCTCATAATTTTGTCTTCCATTATCAAATCTCAAATGAAATGTGTGATTTACAAATTCGTGAGGTCCACGGATTTGGATCTAAAAAAAGGGTCTAAATCCTTGGGCTCCACGAACTTGTATTCCTTAGCAAACAATGAATTTGTGTAAAGTCCTTGATGCTTGTGATTTGAATGCCAAATCCCTCACCCAAATCTCACAAGCAAACGATACCTTAGATACCCTTGCGAGTGTTATGAGTCTTATGACAAGAAATAGGCCTAATGTCTTATCATGCATTTAACATTAGTGATCTTACCAACCATAATCAAGAAATGAGCACTTGGAAGTTGGAAGTACTTTGATTCTGTGATCTATGACGGCAAGTAATGTTCCACGGAAACTCGCAACAAAGAACATGCAAGCGGAATTATTTATTGATGGCCTAAATTCTGTCGATCATGTTGTCATAAACTCTCAAAAGTCAAAACAACAATGCTCATTAAAAAAAAAAAAAAAAAAAAAAACTCTCAAAACAACAATCGACTCTATTGGGTACAAATTATCTAAAACCGGAATGAAGTTGCCCCAAGAAAGCAGTCGGAATAATCTCAAATATTACAAACATTTGAAACACTAAAACATCCATCTCAACTAAACAATCCAGCAACTACAAGGAAAATTACCCCCTCTTGCCCAAACCTTTTTATCCCTGTACAGAAATCAGATCGCTTTAGAGCTTAAATCTTGTCAATCTGACCCCAAACATCTGATATGCAAATTTCTCGATCCACACTGCAGCTCTCCTTATGGTATCCTGGAGAATTTTGCTTTGGTGCAGATGAAGTTCTGATTACTATGTGATTAACCTCTTCAAGTCGAATCCTTTTGATGGGTTAGAAAGCTGAAGTGTAATGCAAAGAATCTCATCTACTTGCAGGGATGCACTTGTGATCAGCAGAATCAACTACCATTGCCGCAGGAGAATGACGAAATGGCACAACCTGTTCAGAAGAACACTCTGAGAGTTGAGTACAAGTTGAAGAGCAAAGTAGAAGGGAGATCAAGAAGCAATCAGGATTAATTGCATCACCTGATCGCTGCGGGGAGCATGATCGTTAACCACCACAACTTTGATTCTTTTCGAGCTGCAGGTACTGCTTGTGCCCTTTGCACTGTCGTCGTCCTCCTCCATGTCTTCATCGACAAAGTTCTGATCTGACATCTCTACAATGGATAAGAGCTCATTTTTTAGCCGACTCCAAAGGTATGACATTGCTTCAGATGCAAGGCAATATATAATAACATGGAAAAGCACCTGTGTAGTTGTTGTTAGAGTGATCATGATGATTGCTAGAAGAGTGAAACCCCTGCGAATTTTGAGGATCCTGCTGCTGGGCTCCCACACTGTGAGGCTTCTTCACACATCTGAAATGTTGGATCCAGGGGCTCTTGAGGAAACCCTGCGCTTCAGCCCTCGTATTTACCCGCGAACCTCCTGGCCTTTGGAAGTCGACTTTCTGCCAGCAGCCACGTCGAAGAACCTTAAACTGAAGGGCGGTAAAGGGAAGACAAACAAAGGGAATCATGGAAAAGTGGCTCTTTCATACCATCAAACAGCTCAAAATTCCCCTCAATTGGGAGGAAAGAGTTTTTGTTGTGTCAATTACCTGACCAGAAGGGGTGCTCATGGTTTCGAATTGTTGTTGCCTCGAGAGTTTCGGATCAATGTAGCCATACAACTGGTCAACGAAGGTTGATTCCATGGATTTGAGATAAAGCCTATGCTCCTCATTGGTCCACTCCTTAGGCATAGATGATTCCACAGGCGGCTCCTGCAGAAAACCAAACATCACCCGTCACCATCCATGCAGTCGAGCAGTGCTAAGGAAAAATCATGGTCAAGTCATCATTCCCTATTGCCAAACATTCTCACAGGCTTCAACATTGTTGAACATCATACCAAACTAACAACCCAGATCACAATTCAGCGATAAAGTCGCTTCTTTACTTGGGGACACTCTTAAACACAAATTAGCAACCCCATGAATCAAAATAATAGAAACCCCTCAGTAATCCCTCTCTCTCTGCGTTCTTTGGTTATACAGACTGGTTCATTTGGCCAATCCTTAGGATTAACAATTCAAAACATCCAATCTCAAAAGGGTGAATCCCGTTATTTGGAAATTGCCATGGTCAAAGCTTATGATTGTAGTGGACGAGCGACAGAGTAAAAAATGAGTGGTTATGGTGCATCCACAGCCATCTGATCAGGAATCTAACAGCTGACGAGGCATAACCGGTTTAGCAGCTAAGGCGAATTGTATTCTTTGCACAATCATCAAACCCAGTACCCAATTCTTAAGAAACAACAGGAAAGAACAGATCAAAACCCTTTTTTCACCTCAGCAAAACATATTAAAGCAAAAAAAAAAAAAAAAAAGTCAAAAGAGGCACAACCTTAGCTTCGAATCACTACTCACTACCAACCAAAGAATTAAGCAATCAACTAACAACAAGAATTTTTTGATAACCTACTAACAACAAGAATTCGCTAAATATATTTATATGAAAAAAAAAACCAAAGTAGTAAAATAGCAAAATATCTACTTCATGAAAAAAAATATCTAAAAGAGGAGCAACCTGTTGGCGAGAAAGGTTGAGGGTCTCGACGCGGTGGGCGAACTCGGAAGCTGGATCGTCACCGGCGACGAGGGAACTCGTCCGAGTCCTGACTCTGCTGCCGCCGTCCATCAGAGACAGAGAGAGAGAGAGAGAGAGGAAAATGAGAATTGAGAAGCGAGAAGAGGATGAAGATGGGAGAACTTTTTTGGCGGAGCAGAGGGAGAAAATAATAAAAAGGGGAGGAGAAACGTTACAGTTGTCACCGCTTTATTCCACGTGTCAATGTGTGATCAGGATCCACGTCACCACCACCCCCGGTTTTTGTGGGGCCGACCCCCTGATATTAAGCGATCTCCCGATCAGGATGAAGGATGGAAGGAAAAGAGAGGCCAGATATTTTCTTTCTCCTTTGCCGTTTCTTTCTTCCATCCAAAATATCTCCTCGACGTTACGCGGTGGTGGAATTTTCACTTCGCCCCACGTTATTAACTGCAGGTTGGTCCTTATTATAGATTTGGTTTACATTTCAGTCCCTTTTCTAACTAATAACCTTTATTATAAGAACCGGACGGAATTCGCGGTTGGATTCATAGAATCATCGAACCAATTATTATGGAAGTTCGATTCATTTGCTTGGGGATACAAGACGAATTGAATGATTTTTCATGGTTGGACATGAAACAAGATTAACCATTCGGTTTGACTAGTCTACTCGTTTATTATTTTTTAATAAAAAATGTTTAAGAATTTTTTTTTAAGTTATAAACTGAGTCAATCCAACCATACTAACAAATTTTATTTGTACTTCCTCTTCTTTGTTTTCTAGTTGTTTGAGTCCAACTGAGGGTAGGAGTGGACTCGGAAAAGAGGGTGAGAAGAGTAAACAACAAGGGGTCTAGAAACGGGAATATTCTTAGAAAGAGAAAGAGTTATTCGCAAGTCTAGTGAGAGAGTGAAAAATGCGATCCCCTCACCCACCGGAGTAAATGCCATATTTATAGGCTACATGGTGGTGGGTGAGTTACATGGTGACAAGACTGCTGTCAAGTCAGAACTTTCGACCATACTCCTACCTAGGACTAGGAGGCTTGTCCATGATTGTACCTAGGACTCTGATGTGACCACTCTTCGAGGGATACCGTGTCGTTTTCGAGGTAGGCTTGGCCTAGTCAACTCTTGGTTGAAACGCTGTCGTTCGGTCGTTTGGAGTTCATGTCCGCGAGTGAGGCTTCCCCGCGCTCAAACTTCTCCCGTAAGCGCGGCTGTGAATGTGGCTTTGGTTACATTCTTGCTATCGCGTCTAACCAATCTAAGTCGGCGTTGCGCTGGCTCCTTGGCGCGTCTGGACCCGAGCCATACACCCAACACTAGTGTTTTATTTATTTATTTACCCAATGCATTGCTAGCGAATTATTAATATGAATTTTATAAAATTTATGGATAGATTCTTTTGTGATTAGGGTATTCAGGAATTAACTAGTAGTCTCCTGTTGGGATCAACAGTCATCCTTACATATATTAACTTGTATTCATGAATTAACTTGTATTAGAGTATTCATGAATTGACTTGTACTCTCCCATGATTGAACAACATGAAGCTAATATTCGTTGAATTGTCTGAAAACATAAGAATACGAGAACATTTATGGGTCGCCTGAATGAGGTCTTTTAATTAAAAACATGAGTCCCTTTGTGTCAAATTACTCAATTTACAAAAACAAAAAACATCCAGACTGTCATGTTTCTTCATTCAAAATGAATCATTATGAGACAACTGCGACAAATTATTTTATCCAAATGCCTACGACCCCTGGATTAGGACGGTGTTGAAGGATAATTGGCGTCATAGTACACTAACATGCAAAATGACATACAAATGTAAAGGTTCATTAAAAAAGGACGAATATGTTAATAACAATAAAAATCATGGACTAAAATAACAAGAAAGGGTGACTTGCAGGCAGGGGCGGACTGTCACATATGGCAGATGACATGGTGCCAACAAGGTGACAACATGGCGGCTGCACATGTGGCGTGTATGGAAGACTAGTAGCATAGAGATGCTCCTAGGATTCTCCACCTAAATGAGGGCTTAATGATGCACTTATGAGTCACATAATGGGTGACATTTATAGAGTGCATAATGGGGGGACTTAATGGGTGTATTGATGTAGTAGAGGGACATTATGAGGGGCATTGATGCCTTGTATGAGGAGAGGCCTATATAAGGAGCCATCTCCCTCACTTGTAACTCATCCATCATTTTTGTGAGCAATACAACTATAGAGTTTCTCCCATCTTCTTGTGTCTTGTTCTTGTGAGTTGAGTGAGTTTGAGAGCTTGTGAGAAGGCTGCCTAGTATCTCTAACGGAATTGAGAGCTAGGGCCGCACGACCAAGAGTAAGGCCGTGACAGTTGGTATCAGAGCCTGGTTCTGAAAGAAGAACCGGTGTCCTCACTCCCCAAGAAGGAAGATAAGAAAGAGCGAGAGCCTCACTAAAGATGGCTGGATCAGAAGTCCACGACGATGCGGAGAAGCACCGTGGAAGGGATACCGTGAAGAATCCCAAACCAAAGGGTGACAAGTCAAGCACTCGTGATCCTATGACGTCTCTAGAGAGGCGTGTCTCTAGAATGGAGGTGAAGTTGGCGGAAGACATCAGTGCCATCGAGGATTTGGGAGCAAACTTCACCCAAGTCGAAAGCGATTTTCAAGGTATGAATGCTCGTTTGTCGAGCTTGGAGATTGGTAATGATGGCTTACGAGAAGAGCTTGTGGCCCTCATCAACAACACCATCACCACATCCTTGAACAACGCCATTGGAGTTGTCAAAGAGCATGTCCAGGCTGAGCTGGTCGGCGTGAAGGAGGAGATTGCAGACCTCAAGAGTGAGGTCACTCTCGTGAAGAGAGCCATGGCTAACGGACCTGCCATCGCACAACCTACCTCAACCATGGAGATTCCAAGACCAAAGAGCTTTCAAGGGTCGAGGAATGCAAGGGAGTTAGAGAACTTCCTATGGAGCTTGGAGCAATACTTTGAAGCTTCGGGTATTCGAGATGAGAGTACCAAGGTAAAAACTGCACCTCTTTACTTGAGTGATGTTGCTATGCTGTGGTGGAGAAGGACCCAAGGCGATATCAGTAAAGGGACGTGCGTGATGGAGTCATGGGATGACTTCAAGAGGGAGATCAAGAAACAATTCTACCCAGAGAATGTTGAGTTTGAAGCCCGGTCGAGACTAAGGAGGCTTGCTCACGAAGGAGAGATTCGAGGGTATGTGAAAGAGTTTTCTGAATTGTTGCTCGAGATCCCCGACTACACCGACAAGGAGGCCATGTTCACCTTCCTTGACGGCCTCCAACCATGGGCGAAGTTGGAGCTACAACGGCGAGGCGTGCAAAGTCTTGCCGAGGCAATGGCGATTGCCGAGTCCCTAGTCGAGTACCACGAGCCGGAGGAACGTGCGGAGTTCGGAGGCAATGGAGGTGGACGCGACTATGATAGAGACACACGAAGGCGTGGTAGACCGGACCAAGGAGGTAGTCATAAGGTTGAGAAACCACTTACTTGCTTTCTTTGTGATGGTCCACATCGTGTGAGAGATTGCCCAAGAAAGCACAAGTTGTCGGCAATGAAGGCCGTACTAGCAGAGTGCTCGAGCTCGGAAGAGGAAGCAGAGGAGACTCCAAGAGTGGAGCCCCATGTCGCGAAGATGGGTTGCATGAAGAGATTGAGCGCCATCAAGCGGGCGGAAGAGCCTCTCCAACCCGAGCAGCACGACCAATGCTTCGTAGAGGCGAAGCTCAACCAAAGGAAAACAGAAGCCTTGGTTGATACTAGGGCAAGTTGCAACCTTCTTGACGTAGGTGAAGCGCAGAGGCTAGGCATCACGTACGAGAAGAAGCAAAGAGGGTGGATGAAAGCTACCAACTCAAGGGCCACAAGAACTCATGGAGTAGCGCGCCAGGTGCCACTCAAGCTTGGAGGATGGACCGGGGTGGCAGACTTTGAGGTTGTGTCGTTGGATGATTATCAGGTCATCATCGGCATGGAATTCATGGTGCGGCAGAAAGCTTTCCCGATTCCCTACGCCAATAGATTCTGCATCAATGGCGGAGCAAGATCGGTTCCCATGACAAGAGAGCAACTCGAGTCAAACAAGAGGTGTTTGGCAAGGCAAGAGCAGCGAGAAGTGGCAACGATGGTGGAGGCAGCGGCTCACTCGAAGACTCGTTGGAGAAGGACGAGAAGGAGGAGTGCACAACATCGTGGAGCCATGAGAGACGAGGATGTATCATCTTCGACTTGCCAAGAGAAGCAAGGAAAGGCCACCATGATCGAAAAGGCGGGACACTCAAAGACGCGACGGAGAAGACCGCGGAGGAGTGTGCAACATCATGGGAGCACAAGGCTCGAGAGCGAGCCAGGGCCATCCTTGGTTTGGAGGAAGGTGCAACGAGACCTTGCAAGCAATGAAGCTAAGGCAAGGGACGCGTATGCCAAAGAGCCACGACGAGGGCGTCGTGGATTGAGTGGAGGAGAATGTCACCAACGAGGCTCAAGAGTCGAAAGAGGCTGCTCGAGGTCGAAGGAGGCATTTCGTAGCAAGGACGCGACGAGGACGTCGCGAGCATAGGTGGGGGAGGATGTCACATGTGGCAGATGACATGGCGCCAACAAGGTGACAACATGGCGGCTGCACATGTGGCGTGTATGGAAGACTAGTAGCATAGAGATGCTCCTAGGATTCTCCACCTAAATGAGGGCTTAATGGTGCACTTATGAGTCACATAATGGGTGACATTTATAGAGTGCATAATGGGGGGACTTAATGGGTGTATTGATGTAGTAGAGGGACATTATGAGGGGCATTGATGCCTTGTATGAGGAGAGGCCTATATAAGGAGCCATCTCCCTCACTTGTAACTCATCCATCATTTTTGTGAGCAATACAACTATAGAGTTTCTCCCATCTTCTTGTGTCTTGTTCTTGTGAGTTGAGTGAGTTTGAGAGCTTGTGAGAAGGCTGCCTAGTATCTCTAACGGAATTGAGAGCTAGGGCCGCACGACCAAGAGTAAGGCCGTGACAGGACCCACGGGTGTTTAGGGGTGTCCCTGGACACCCCTAAATTTTGGGAAAACGATTATCCAACCACCGGTAGTAATTTACGTATTGACAAAAAAATTATAATTGATAGTCGGGGACACCCCTAAATTTAAAAAAGTGAGTATCCTACTCTCATCTTTTAGTTTGAGTATGAGAATATAAGTCGTAGTTTGGGTAATTCAAACCTAGGACACTTTTATTATTAATAAACATAATTTTCATTAGGCTACAACTCAAATGTTATTCGATTTTAAACACTGTGTAATAGTATAATGTCATTCTCTATCTCTAATTATTTTCAAAATCTAACAATTAAACAAATTTCAAGCTACCCTTAATTTGTATTGATTTATGGTTGTACAACAAGTATTGAAAGAGTCTTTTCAGTTTTGGATTACATCAAGAGCAACTTTAGAAATTGAATATGTGATCAGTTCGTGAATGATTGTCTAATAAGATATACAGAGACAAATTCTTTTGAATAGTGTAGACCCCAAGTGTGTTCTACAATCATTTTTTAATATGAAAACACATTGTGAATTTTTTCAAACTGTATAAGTAAAGTATTTCTTATTTAAATATTATTTATTTTGTATTAATTATTTTAGAACTATTTATATTTAATTTATTTTTTAAAAGAGGACACCCCTATGTAAAATTTCTGGGTCCGCTATTGCTTGCAGGAGAGAGTCACAGATTTCGTGAATTCAGGGTCGTTTGGTTTTAGTGATAATTTGGTTGGGATAGTTACAATGCATGTAATGTCCACAATGCATTGTTTTTTTGAATTTTCTGCGCAAACAATACATAAATTGTTTGCTTGATTTGACACAAACTATCACTCAAAATGAGTGATAGTTAAATCTCAAGTTTTCGTTGAGATTGTTGAGATTGTTTGATGGAGATTGTTGTGTTTTCTTCTTCTTCCAAATATGTCCCTACCTTTTTATGTGTGTTGCTTTTTTATATTAAAAACAAAGGGTAAAAGTGACATTTCACCCAAAAAGTGGTATAATTGATTTAAATACTACAATAACTATTACAGAAACCAAACGATGTAAACTACAATACACCAATTTTTTTATATACATATATATTATTATGTATGCATTGATGACAATACATCGATTTAACTATCACCAAAACCAAACCAACCCTCAAACTCATCCTACCCGAAACTCCCCGGTATGGAATGCATTTGGCAATTTGCCTTTCTCCTCGTCGCCACCGCCACTGCTACTAGCCCTTAGGCCTTTATCTCTCTCTCTCTATCCCCTCCCAAGTAACGTAAATATCACAACAGATCTTTTGGGTTTTCGATCGACATCTCCAATATTCGCACCAATTTTGGCAGCCTAGCTAAGCTTAGCATTAGCATAGCAAGCAACACATAAATGAATACAGTTATTTAGCAAAAGCGACACTTAGATAGCTACTTTTTTCCTAACCAAGGGACAATTATCGCTACCCAATTTTGGCTTCAATGTTTCCCTCCCTTCTTCTATAATTGTATCTGGACCACTACTACGTAAAGACGGAGCAGCGGCAGTACAATCTCGTCGAGACGGAGCAGCCTCAAGACGAGTCGGAGGCCTATCGAGTCAAACATCATGTTCGTGACTGTAATATTGTGCATGACCTTTCAAATAAGTTGGCGCGCTCTAGACCAGGGAAACGTCGGATTGCATCAGATACAGAACAAGGTTTTGGAAATTGACATTCAACATTATTTTCCCGAATTCATGTTCTTGATCGACTCGATCGGAAGCTTCTCGATTAATACCGTGCTTCCCATTTCCTTGGTGGGGGCGAGTTGAGCGTCAAAAATATCTGGAGACTGGAAGGGTATCAATCAAAGAGTATATTTTTTTGTAGATAGGGAATTGACACAAGAGGGAAAGCATATGAATGTCGGCAAAAATATCATGGAAAGGGACAGAGCTAGGACAAAACCCCAAAATCCTACGCCAAAGCAGGTATTGAATTCAATGATAAAAAGAGGTGGGGAGTGTCCCCTCACGCCAATTATATTCCTTCACAAATGCTCTGTTGGATTGTTCGGCGGTCTGGCCAAGCTAGGCGACTAGCAATCTAGCATTACCAGAAAATTAGGCTCCAACCCAGCACAATGAATGTGGTACAGAAAGACTAGAAGCAGCTGCGATGTTCGATCCACAGGATCGTAAAGCGTAGTGGGATTAGGATATGCCTTAAAATCCGATTCAGCGAAAATCAACGCAGTAAAACCGTGACACGATCCTAAAAAAAGAGCACCTAGATGATCTCTGGCGGGGATTTTATTCGTAGCACAGGCATGAGAAGTACAGTAAGTAAAAGATATTCACAGTGGTACACAAAATTGGGGGGGATCAACTAGATGATCACTTCTTCTTAGTTCGACATCGTACCAAAAACAAAAATCAAAGAAGAAAAGCAGAGTTGATAATTGGGAAATGGATATGGAGAGCTATTTACTGGCTTTACAGTATGAAGCTTTAGCATTTTCAGTGCGGGGAGAGCAAAGGGGGATAACAGTGGCAAAAGTGAAATGGGGGGTACAAAGGTTTGCACCCAAAGAGTTACCTCATTCTGAACCTTATTCATCTTTCTCCTGCTGGCAAGATATTCACCTAGGTGTGGCCTTCGTACCCGGCTTCTTTTTGTGGAGTTGTAAATTGGTCAAGAAACCGACAATAAGAAAGATCCTAACATTAGAAGCAGGATGACGGTCGAAGATCAGGATTCTGCCCTGTCATCAACTTCCGGTATCACAGTGTCTTGCAAGTCCATTTGACCTGTACATTGCCAACCACAAGGTTAAATACTAGAACAACTCTCTTATTCTCGCACGAGTAGCTTTGAATGCTTGTTTCGAGCATCCTTTTTTGTGTAGGTAGATATTAATCAAGAATAGTAGAGAAGGGAAATGGAGAGTGTTACCTAACAAGGAAATCAACGATGGGGAGCTTCCATTTGATTTCATGTCTGTACCTGGGGAAATGAGGTAAACATCCAATGTCAACTAGCCATTCATCTGCATAAAGGGACCGTGGGTTCTTGTTCTTCAGTGAAGATTATAATATTACCTGAGCTTTCCAACGATTTGAGGACATCTGATTTCTTGTAAGTGAATCCGATGAAGTTGGTATCTTTCGAAGCCAACATCTACATCAAGTAAAGAGGTAGTCAGAATGGGAGTCATCAATAAATATAATTGCAGATCAATGACCCCAGAAAGCAAGAAGGAATCCACTCCAAGGAGGAGAAATAAATAGTTCATAAGCATTTGCTCTGAGAAAATACTGATGTAGTGCTATTTGAATCTGATGATTAGAAAAAACCAGCAACTACTGAAAACAGAAAGGTAAAATAGTGGCAACTAGAACAAGGTGAAGATAAGGTTAAAAGGCCACATTTCCAGCAGGTAAAGTGAAAAAAATAAGTTACTACATTTTGCAGCTGATAACATGAAACAAGGGGGCTGATTTAAAATCCCAGTTTCTGCTTTAAAATAGGGCTGTACAGTTTATAGGCAAGTAGGAGAAAGGGAAAATAAATGTTCAAATTCCTTCAGAATGAATCATCAACGGCAACAAATCAAGTTAAAATTTCCCGAGGAAAATGAGAGGAAACAATAAGCTGGTTTTGTATCAGGTGCTATTACCTTTCTCCAGGGTCCCACACTTGGTATTGCTGATGGTGCACCATCCAACTGAAAGAAGTCCACAGGACATGCATTTATCAGACCAACACTTCAGAAAGCAACAAGATACAAGTGCTCAAAAGTGGAAAAAAAATCTAAGAAAGAAAGAAAAAAAGTAAGAGCCCATATTGAGAAGCAAAGAATATGTATGATTAATGTTTGCTTTTTGGACAGCCAGGGTTCTCAATGAATCTCATGGACCAAGAGAGAGAGACTCTACGAATGGCATGCTAAACACAAATTTATTAGGTTTGTGATCCTCGCAGGACAAAGCTTCAGTGAGTTCAGTAAGGTTCCCGATTCAATCATGTTATTTTACCGACGAAAAGCACAAAAATAATATATATGCTCTGAGCACATCGCACTTACTTCAGGAAACTTCTCAAAATTCTGCGTGTCCAACTCTCCATTCACTGTAGGCTGATATGCAGCCTCCATTTCATACAGCTTATCCCACTGAACGGATCTGAACCATGGATGTGCCTGAGATCAGAGAGAACTTAAGAACAGGCACAGCTAAAAGAACACAAAAACCAAGTAGTCTACGTATCAACAGTTGCAATAGGTCCTCAAAACAGCAGGGAAAATATTCTTTCTTCGAAAAAAATGTACCTTCAATTCTTCCACTCCTCTGGTGCCCAGCCTTGTATCAACATCACAAAGCAGATGGCGAATCAGGTCTTTGGCCTCATTGGATAACTTGGGCTCCTCGGGGAAATTCATACATGTCTTCCAGTTTATTATCTGATGGGAGATGAGAGATATTTCATCAACCCTAAGCCCTATGAAGAATTCTAATCAGAAGTAACTGAGACGTAAACTAGCAACCACCTTGCGGCAAGTGATCCTGGGATCATCAGAACAGAAGGGTGGGTATCCAACAAGCATCTCATACATAATTGCACCAAGGGACCACCAATCACATTCCATTCCATATCCCTTCTTCAAGAGCACTTCAGGAGCCATGTAATCAAGAGTTCCAACAGTTGAATAAGCCTGAAAAAAAGGTACAAAACTAAAGCTGTTAACTTGCATCCAAAATAGTGGATTGCCCAAGCAAAAGCTATATAAGGTCATACAAGGGCACGGCGATTGCGCTTCCATTGTTGCAATTGCTCCTTGGGCATCATCCAAGGTGGCCTGTCACTGCCTCCGCTGTCAGTCGTGGCATCCTGGTTCACAATATCTTCATTTGCCAACAAAGTTGAATATTTATCATCAAGGGGCTTACACAGACCAAAGTCTGAAAGCTTCAAATGGCCATTTTTGTCCAGTATAAGGTTATCTGGTTTTATGTCCCTACAAGCAGCATAATTTGAATCAGCATCTTATGATTTTGCATTAAATTTAGAATGAAAAGCCAAACATGTGGGGATCAAATGCCCAGAGTGAGCTGCTTCCGTTTTGAGGCTTCAGCACTTGCACTACTTATGGAAGAAACAAAATATTTTGGGATTCAGTTCTGCTCCACAAACTAAAACCACAAACTAAAATCACTTGCATGATGCGACAAATGACTTACCTGTGAACGTAATTGTGTTGATGAATTGAGTGTATCGCTAGGATGCTTTCTGCTATGTAAAAACGAGCAACATCCTCGGAAAGAATATCTTCTCTCATCAGTAATGTCATGATGTCTCCACCAGGTAAATATTCCATTATTAGGTACAAGAACTCTGAGTCTTGAAAAGAATAGAACAGCTTTACAATGCACCGACTGTCCACCTCGGCTAGTAGATTTCTCTCTGATCGAACATGCTCAACCTTGAAAGACAAAAGCAAAACTGGTTTCAGGCATACATCACGATATGATTGGTGGATATATCACACAAGGTAGGTTTAAACATAGGCATGCGCTAACGGGTAACTATTAATGGATAAAGATCTGCTAATTGGTTATATTCAATCCAAACGATACCAACAACTAGATAGATTAGATACAATCAACAACGCTAGGATTGCTTCCAAGTAGTTAACTGCTATATCATCTAAAACTTTAGCAGTGAACAATGCACTCAGTGATGTTTGGAAATCTTAACTCTTGAGGTTATATTCAGCACACCTACCAATCTAAATATAGACTATTAATTGCACCCAACTGATAGCGTGATCATGATCCCAACCAAAGTACCAAGAGGACAACGGTAGCCAGTATAAATGAATCTAGGAATTTATCTGACCTGCCCACGGCTAAGCATTTCCGATTTCTTCAGTTTCTTCATGGCAAAAATCTCCCCAGTGCCTTTGGCCTTGCATAACCTGACCTGCATTTTCCGATGCATTCATTAGAACCTTTCAATACGAGGGGGAAAAAACAAAATCGGTGGGGAGAAATCAAGAAAAAAAAAACAAGAAATCTACCTCTCCGAATGCACCTTTACCAATGACAGTTAATTGTTCGAAATCATCGATCCCAACTTTGCGTCTTTGCATCCTCATGAACTCAGTTTCTCTCCTCTCCAGGCTCCTCATCAGTTCCTCCTGCTCCTCACTTGATACATGAGCCTCTTGTGCTCTGCGCTGGAGCGTCCGCCGTCTGACATTCATAGTGCAGGTTGATCATACATGCTTCAAATTCACTTCCACGAAGCAGACATAAAAAAGGAAATCTCTAGAAGGAAATGTTCAACTAATTAAGTCTTAACCAAACAGAAACTAATCCATTCACGATGTATTCTACTACTCCGTTTATTGAATGAAGCGAATAGCATACAAGTCAGTCAAACTGAGGTCGCCGGCCAGATAGTCACAGAACCTCATTTGATCATACTCTGACCTCCGATTGACTTCGATCAAAACCGCAATCAATTCAAATTCGAGCCACTAAATCACAGAACCTCCTGGATTCCAAAATCCGCTCGTTCGAAACAGAGAAATCAACGATCCGCGAGATACGATGACTGTAATTTACAAAAACAAAAAAGATACGAGGAGGGAGGGCTCGCTCACCTCTCTTTGCGATCCTGCAATCCTTGCAAGTAGTTCTTGTAGTGATTCTCGATGAACTGCTTGGCGGCGGCAGCTTTCTGCCTGGTGACCGGCGACGAAACCGACACATCAGAGTCCAGGCCGCTGCGCTCCCTCAAGTTGAGAGCCCCGAGCCTCACCGTTCCCTCGCCGCCGGTGCCGTCCATTGCTGTCGGCCAAAATCCTCGAAGCGAGAGACAAGAAATCAGATCAAGAAGTATCAATACTCGAGAGCGAAAATCAGAGACGACGATGCTGCTGCTGCTGCATCTGGATTGAATTGCTAAGCAAGCTCGGAACAGCTCAGCGGCAACGAGCAGAGAGAGATCTAAGCAGAGCTGTCAGTGTTCTGGAAAATGACTTGAGAGAGAGAGAGAAGTTGAAGGTGAGGAGAATTCTGAAAGAGGTGGTGAGCCGAAGCGAAATGAACTGGCGAGATTTGTGAGGGATTTGATATATATATTTGGAGAGAGAGAGAGAGAGAGAGAGAGAGAGAGAGAGAGGACGCAGGACCAAGTGTTATTATTTATTTGTTTTGCTCGCTGGCTTGGCTGGCCTCACTGGAGATCATTTTAATTTTTAATTTTTCCTCTTTTCTTGTTTTGGGTTTCGTTTTTCTACATAACTTCCCTTTTGGGGTGGAATGGGAGTGGGATGGACGCCATCGATTTCCTCGCTTCCACTGGAATCTCCACATTATACCTCAAGGCCGTGTTTGTTTGTTTCTTTCAGCTAAAGTTAAATAAAAGCGTGTCCCTTAAATTGAATTATTATAACTAAATTCATCAAACAAACAGGAGTTATAATTAAGCTATTGTCCGCCAAAAAACTGGCTTGTTAGCAAGATTAATAATTAATTTCTTCTCAATTATTACCTTTTTCGTGACTAAACAAACATATCCAATTCGATATAACAAAAGGTAAAGTATAACATAGAAGTGGTATTATATGAGAAGAAAAATTGTTTCACAATAATAAGGGCTCAATGCAGTCGTATTAGTTGTATTTTGTGTTTTGGGGTTGAAAATATGAGAATCTTCGATGTAATTGCTATTGACATTCATGTCAATGTTAAATTATGTGTCATGGTGGCAGTTGATTTTTGGGCATAACTTTAAATGTTAGTGCATGCTTTGGTATTTGGTTTGTTCACATTTACATCATTATTTTTCTCACATTTTAAGGCCAAACGACTTAGACAATGTATGCAAATTATGCATCACTTTGGTTTTACATAGCTAGCATAACCTTCGTCAAGTGCATGCGTTTTACACCTTCGATATTTTTCTTTTGTATATTTCCAGGCATGTGTCATTTAGTGCCACATTTATCATCACTTGTTTGTTCGTATTTGTTCTTCTTGCTTTCCTATGAACTAGTAAATGACCTAACGTTATTTTATTTCCCCAACTTTTTACAAATGCCAAACAAACAAACATGGCCTTCGGCCAGCGATGGCCTCTCTGTTTATTTCTTTTTTCCGTGGGTGGACTCACTCGCTAGTGGCGGACCTAGGATTGTTGGAGAGGTGTGTCGCCGCTAATATAGAATAATAATTAAATAAAAAAATTAAGTAGAAATTAAAAGAAATTAATTTATGAAGTTCACAATGTCATTTTACAACGAATCACGACGACTTTTCATTTGCTGAAATGTCTCTAAAATACATTCATCACTTATGCTGCAAAGCAAATGTTTTTCAATATACACAACTTAACAATCATTTATAAACAATAATATTATACTCTAAACCCCCAATGTGTGAACCGCAATCCCCAATTCACTAACCTAACATAAGATTCATTTAATCTTGAAAATTGAAAATCAATGATACTGATTTGTCGAAATGATTGTTGAGTTTCATTTTAAGATTGACCAAATTTTGCAGTTTGGGTTAGAAAATTAGGGATTGAGGTTCACCCATTAGAGGTTAAGATATAGGATCATGCCTCAAAGTCCGGTTAATTATTTATCTAAATAGCAAAACCCAATTGGTGTACGGTGGTCGGACGTACGCTAGCCTGAACTTATATTTATATATTTTGATTTATGACAATAAATTTCCATAAACACAATGGAGTTGTGTCGGATACAATGATCAGAGGTGTGTCGGTAATCCCAAGATCAAAATTTTAGTACCGACGAATTAGGGGTATTTCACAAAATTTTCGGGCGCACACCTCCCTTGTGCCTAGGTCCGCCCCAGTACAGTGTCGGCGGAGATGAATACGAGAACAGATGAGCTTGATTTTTGGGGAAGAAATATAAGTACCAGACGGTGGCGCGTGAATATTACGCGGCGTTGCATTGGAGGGATGGAGCGCGTGGCTGGTAAGAGAAGACTGAAGACTGGCTTGGCGAGTGGTTCTTCTTTCACTCCGGTCGTTCAGACTTCTTTTTGTTTTTATTCTTTGAGTTTGGGTTCAATGTTTCAACGGTGGGAATGATGGTGGTGGTGAGTGGCGTCGGTTGGTCTGTCCTCCTTTTCAGGGCCGATATTGACAGGTGGTGGTGGGCCGGGCCGGGCCGGCTGGATCAGGGTGGACATCCAAAGCCGAAACGTGGCACTGGTGACCCAGAAACGCATTGAAACTTTGGACCGGGCGTGGGGCCCGACCAGTGGCCATTGGCCGAGTCTTGACTCAATAATATTTTCTCGTGGTCGTGGCCTCGTGGGTGTTAGCTAGCTCATGACTAGGTAATTGTTGAGTGCGCTAAATTAGATTTGCTCGAGAAGAATTTTGCTACCACGCCACGTCCTCAACCGGTGTGCTGTGGACAAATTGGTTGACGGGTTCCATAACCATGACTAGTTATGTCATCAATGTAATAACTAAAATAACCATCCGGATATTAAGAATAAGTCTTTATCCTAGTTCTAATATGATTGTAATTAGTCTTTCCTTCCCTTATACGTATTGTATTCCTGTAACCTTGGCTATAAATAGCCATCTTCTATGTTAATACAACACACATCACAGTGGCGGAGGGAGAGTATAATAGGGTGGGTCCCGGCAGTGGCGGACCCATAAATTTTTCATAGGGGTGTCCTCTTTTAAAAATAAATTAAATAAAAATAATTTATAAAAATAAAATTGTAAATTTGAAAATACCTTACTCGTACAGGTTAAAAAAGTCCATGATTTGTTTTCATATTCGGGAATAATTGTAGAATACACTTGGTGTCTATAGTGTTAAAAAAAATTGTCTCTATATACCCTACTAGACAATCATTCACGAACTTATCGCATGTTCGATTTGTAAACTTGTTCTCGATGTAACCCAAAGCTGAAAGACTCTTTCAACACTTGCCGTATTAAGGGTAGTTTGAAATTAGTTTAATTGTTAGGTTTTTAAAATAATTAGAGATAGGAAATGACATTTTACTATTATATTTTTCAAAATCGAACAACAAATGAGTTGTAGGTCAACGAAAATTAAGTTTATTAATAAGAATAGTGTTCTAGATTTGAATTACCCAATCTACCACTTATATTCCTATACACAAATGATAGTAAGATAATCATGCTTTCAAATTTCATGGGTGTCCCTCACTATCAATTATTTATTTTGTCCATACGTAAATTACCACCGGGGTTGGATAATCGTATTCCCAAAATTTAGGGGTGTCCGGGGACAACCCTAAAACACCCTGGGTCCCGGGACCCACCCTGACTATCAACTATTTTCATTAATAATTTTTTGGTATATAGAGTAATATTCTTGATACTTTCGACTGCTAATATATTTTAATTAACCAAAATTTTCCAATATAAGATTATGTCATGAATGATTCGCAAAGTTAACAAAAATTATTTTACCAGGTGTATTTTTCTTCTAAGTGGACCCACTTTAGATGAAATCCTGGCTACGCCACTGACAACACACAACATTCATAATTCTTATATAGTATCAGAGCCTGCAATTCTGGCCTAGAATTCGTGCCTCGAACATATCGGTGTTGATGTGATATCGACTAGCGCGATATTTAATTCTCGTGGTCCAAAAATGAAGATTCATATTCGACGATTTAAGGATCAACTAGGAGCATTCTTGATTGATAAAATGGAGAATGCATTAAGGATCGGCCCTACAACATTTCTTGGAGCCCAAAACGTCCATCCTTGCTGCCCAAGTCGTCCAAATGTGAAAAGGGCAAGGAAAGAGATTGCTTAACCACTAAGGAGCTTCCTTAAGCATTAAAAACGTGTTTGGAGATTACTTAGCTTCTAAGGAGCTTCCTATTAGTCATAAAAACGAGTTATAATCCTTATTTAAATAGTATTATGTTTCCTAGTTAGTTTGGGATTTGTTTTCCTATTCCTTTTAGGTTAGTTTTATGTTTTTGAGACCTCTATAAATAGAGGATGTAAGAACTACGAATTTTGTACCCAACATTCAATTATCAATCAACTTTCAAGTTACAAGTTCATACGAACTAGTTCTTTGTGCAAGCTTCTGTTGAGAGTGCTCCGGGAGTTTCACGTGTCTCTTATCAACTAGAGAACGCGTCTAGTTGTGGCGAGCTTCTACCCAATAGCGATTGGCCTTATTCACGAGCGGGTGATTATTTGATTGGTTTCATATACCAATTGGCCTTTCACACGAGTTGGAATCTGTTTGATCGTGTTCCATATCTATCCTTTATTTCGAGTGTTCAATTTGGAGAAAAGCTTCGAAAATCCTTAAAAAGAAGGAAGGCTGCGTACTTTGGTCATATCATCCGAGTTCGAGGGTGCTCTTCGGATTTGGATCACATCAGGTGTGCTCCCACATTCAGCGCCTGATCTTCGTCGCTGCAGCTCCCTCCTCACGATGGCCGGTGAAGACTCTGCCACGTTCGGCACCACTGAAACTCCCTTCGACGTTGCTGGCCTGCCTGCTTTCATCACCATCAACCCGCCGCCAGCCTCTCGCTGAAGCTTACTCCGACTAACTTTCCATCCTGGCATGCTCAATTTTTGTCCTTGCTCCAAGGGCTTGATTTAGTCGGCTATCTCGACGGCACTGTTGCAGCTCCTCCTGAACGTGTCCTTGTCAACGACGTTGAGACACGAAATCCAGCCTACACTCACTGGTTTCGGCAGGATAAACTCCTCCTCAACAACCGCTTTGCTTCCGTCTCCCAAACGATATGCCCCTTTATTAGTGTTGACACCTCCTCCGC